ACTACGTGACTATGTGATAATATGAAAAGAAGCTATGATAAGTGATATGTGAAAGTGAATTACAAGTTATGTGAATATTTGAAATGAAATAAATGATAACGCCCATGTTATGTGTCATGAGAGCTAGGGGTATAGTTGGCATGTCAAGAGTCGAGGGTCTACGCGGTTCTTCGAGACATATGTATATTCTTTGGAACATGTGTGAAGTCTAGAAAGACACATACTTGATCCCTAGCATATGTATATGATTCTTAAAGAATTCTATGTGGTCCTTATGGACATTATTATATGGCACTACGGTGCAATTCTATGCGGTTTCTTCGGGACATATGTATATTCTTTGGAACATGTGTGAAGTCTGGAAAGACACATACTTGATCCCTAGCATATGTATATGATTCTTAAAGAATTCTACGTGGTCCTTATGGACATCATTATATGGCACTACGGTGCAATTCTACGGGGCACTTCGGTGCATTTATACGAGCTGTGGTGACAGCATAGTGCACAACCTCTATAGACTCACATATCGATAGTTCTCACATATGTACATGGGCTAATCCAGAGATATGAACAAAAATAAGTTGTGGTATGATAAATGCTATAGAAATGATATGATGTTGTATAGTGTTTGATTGAAAAAGTATGTGATTATATGATAAACTGTTAATGATGAATTATGTGTATGTATGTATTTACTGCAATTAATCTGATATGATTTTATACGATATGAAAAATGCATGGAATTGCTATAACATGATAGAACAGAACATGCATGTATCAATATATGTTTTAAAGTGCATTATAAGTTGTTATGCCTCACTAAGTCTTCGACTTAGAGTGTGATTGTTTCACACGTAGGTTTCGAGAAGAGTAAGGAGTGATGCGGAGCAAGACAGGTCAGTTTTCCTTACCAAAAGATCAGATCAGAAATAGTTGACAAAGTATGTATTTGGTTATGTATAAAGTGTTGGCATGTAATAAGTTATTAAGTACGAGCACTCTGATAAAGTCTTTATTTTGATTTAAATAAAGTTTTAAATTTCTCGGGATTTTTCTTAAGAGTCAAGGTTTGAAAAGTCAATGTGACACTTCGGACTCGTATCCGGGTCGGATACGGGTTGGGGGTGTTACATGAGATATGAGCTTTCTGATGTCTGTTCCATTTGGAATTTGCATGCACCTTGAGCATATGCTGAATTATGATTCAAGTAGATAGAATGCTCATTTGGCAACATACTGAATGACAATGAAGAGGCGGTTGGTTCAATGACAAAGCATTGTGTTCACCATTAGAATTCCCCGGAGAATGGTTTCCAAAACCCCAAGGGTCCGAGCTGAAAGTTCTGGAGCCTTCAGCAGCAGTGGGGTCTGAATGGTTAAACCTGCAGCTTGATCTATATCCACAAGAAATAGCACGCATATAATATGGACATTCTTTCTCCAACTGAAATGAACGTAGAATTAGTTCACATTGTGCGCCGAAAAGGTAGATATGAGAGAAAACAACACTATAATGCTGTAAAACATAAAATTTATACCCTTCGAATTGGCAGGTCTAGGAAGTTGAGTTCTAGCGGAGGTTGATTAAACATAAGACTTTAAAAGTTATTCTATTTTAATCTAGGATACATACAAGAGAGTATATATTCTAAATATTTTTAAACATTTGACAATAAAGGTTCAAACACCCTTACAGTATTTGATGCTCGAATCTCAGACTTTTAGGGATAACAATCATTTCATAGCTTGGTTCATGCAATTATAAATGTAATTATTATCTTATACTAAATATAAAAATCATTATAATACAATTATTACCTTCCGGTCACATTTTAGTAGGTGGCAATGGACTTGCAACAGTAAACCAGAGACCCGTCCAATCTCCACTGACCGGCTACAAAGAAAATCAGATTGATTATCTAACTTAACCATTTTAGCATATGAACACCAGATGTTTTTTCTTTTCTTTGATATTCTTGTTGGTTGCTGGAAAAAAATAATAAATGTAAAATTGAGCAATGAGAGATTTTTTTCTCTTTCCATTATGACTGATTGTCGATCACATGACTATCATTTTTTTTTCTTGTTGGACTGTGTCGTTTAATCTTCGAACTTTTCATTATGGTTTTGAAGAATATCTTTGTTTAATCTTTGTCCAATATTGGAACTACTGTAATAATCAGAAGATTTGAGATCGAAACACATGTCAAAATCTAATAACCTGTTCATTCCACTTGTCTCGTCTGTTGTCCGACAACAGGTTGTCGTTTAGGAAGCCTTTTTTTCTCGTCTTTCCATTAATTCCTCTGCATCGTTATTGCATTAACTGTCTTCGTCTCCGACAAAGAAGAGAAAAGGAAGAAAAATAAGAAGGTTTCGATGGAGGAATGTCTGAAAAATGTTTGTCCCTTTGCTTGAATCCTCACTCTACCATGTAAGCTTTGAAATAAACAAACAATCCAATGTAAAGATTCCATATTTGGAAGTATATCTTATTCAGAATTTGCTTTCCTTGTATTTGTATTTTCCGTGATAGGGTGATGAGTTATGTTTAAATTTGAATCCACCATTGATGATCTAATGATGATTCAAAGGAGAGATTTCTGGGTTTTAAGGGAATTCAAATGTTAATGTATGTTTTGTTTCAGTTCTTTTTATCAACGGCAATTGATTTAATGATCGCTTATTCATAGTTTGATTGTGTTTGGTTGGCAGTGAATGATTAGGACACTTGTTTAGATGGTCTGTTGTGCTGCAAAAAATAGAAAATGATGTTTTATAAAGCTGCCGGAACAGAGGAGTTAGATGCATTCTATCCGATTAGAAAAGAATGTGTAGCCAATGTCCCTAAGACTCGATTTCGGCCGAGGGTGTGCATCTTTTTTATTCACCACATCTCTTACTCGAGTTTTCGATTCCGTTCTGTTTGTATGTCTAGCCTTTTTTTCTTAGAAAGTATACCATCTTATTGGTTATGATCTTACAATAGTTGATCTATTTTTTCAGGCAGGGAAAACTCTCAGCGCGAGACGATGGCATGCTGCATTCTCTGCTGATGGTCACCTCGATATGGAAAAAGTTATTCGACGGATCCAACGAGGGGTATGCTTCTTTCCATTATTACGTTGCTTGGCTTCACACTTATTCGACTTTGAACTGTGGTTTGCATATGCTGATCTACTTATATCTGTCAAAAGTTGAACATTATTAATTTTACTTGATTATTTCCGGGTTAGGGTATTCACCCTTCAATCAAGGGGGTTGTTTGGGAGTTCCTTTTAGGTTGCTTTGATCCTGAGAGTAGCTTCGACGATCGGAATCAGCTTAGACAGGAAAGGAGGTGACAACTTCTTTTAGCATCTCAGAAATTGTAAATAATTTTTCATCGTTAGCAGCACTCATATTTTGACTTGATATGCAGTGTTAATTAAGGTCATTTTGTTCAAAGTAGTAATTTTATTGTGCCCTATAAATTATTCATAATTTTAACCTTTTCTTTCCTTTGTCATCCGTGTTTTGATTTTATGAATTCGGACATTGTGACAATTTATCGCACTAAGCATCACAGGGAGCGTTATGAGACGTGGAAGACTGAATGCCAAAATATAGTGCCCGTCATCGGGAGTGGAAAGTTCATTACAACACCAATTATCACCGATAATGGCCAACCAATAGAAGTTGAAGATGAACCCATGATCAATTCTGTTCCAGACAAGAAAGCGGCTCAGTGGATGTATTTCTTGCATCAAATCGGTATGTATGATGTACCATTTCATGCTCAGCTAATTCAATTTTTCATAACTTATGTTGATTCTTGAGTTACCGTTCAGCCTCTTTTGTACTTTTATTACTTATAACATAAGTTCGTAGATGTCCGTTCAGGCTTTTTTTTTAGGATACAATTCTTATGGCCTCTATTTGAGGCTTTAGGTCAACAGTTCTAAATGCATTGCAGGTTTGGATGTTGTTCGAACCGATCGAGCACTTGCCTTTTACGAGAGAGAAACTAATCAGGCAAACTTTGGGATATTCTCGCTGTATATTCATGGATGGAATGATATCGGTTATGTGCAGGGTGAGTTGTTACTGTCGGTAGTATTATTCATTACCAAGCTGAAGTTTGATTGTTCCCCGACAATCTTTGACGTATTCCTTCCAAGCAGGAATGAATGACATATGCTCTCCAATGGTAATTCTTTTTGACAATGAGCAGATGCATTTTGGTGTTTTGAGCGTGCAATGCGAAGGCTGGTACTCTTGTTTCGTGCAACATTGTTGCTTGATTATTTGATTTCGATGCTAAATATTCATGAAACGATAAATCATTAGGTCAATACCATATAGGGGAAGATTCATGAAAACTTTGGTTTTCATGCTGGTTTATATCCGTGAATGTGTTAAGAGACTTTTCGACTTCTTGTTCGTAACAGAGGGATAACTTTAGATGCGATACAACTTCAATGGGAGTGCAATCCCAGCTCGTTACACTTTCACAAGTAATTAAAACCGTTGATCCGAAGCTTCATCAACACCTTGGTACGCATTCCTTTGCCCCGTTATTTTTTTTTATGCCATTTGAATCTCAAGATCGACTTCTGCTCATCCAAAACCTGGTGAAAAAGACAAAGAAGATGCACCGAGTGCTTTTCACAGTCTTAATGCTCGTCCGAAGCTTCATGGACATCGAATGTGTACCAGAAACGCCACATTTGCCATCTTCATAGTCTCATAGTTTTATGTTGTTCAACTAAACCTCATTGAGTTCATAACAGAGGAGCTCGATGGTGGGGAGTATTATTTGCATTCCGAATGCTGATGGGTACTTTTCCGAAGAGAGTTCTCCTTCGTCGATTTCATTGTATCTTTGGAGGTGACTAATTTGTGTTTTCAATTGCTATCTGGGCAAATGCCATTGTTGTATTAGTTTGTTTTGAGTTCGGTCTCTTTATACGTGTTCATTCTAAGACAGGATTGACATCCATTCCACAGGTAATGTGGGCAATGGAGTATAACCCTCATATTTTCTTGAGTATGAGACCGCTGATTCATCCTCTGATACAACTCTGCAGTAACATCTGATCAGAAGGTGTTTAAAGCAGTGTGGAAAGTTTGAAAGAATAAACATGCAGAACGGATGGTCGGATAAAAACGGTGCGCTCTCATTTTCTTAATCGCAAGCGTTCTCGAGACCAAGAATAAACAGATTCTAAAGGAGGCCAAGGGTATAGACGACGTCGTCAGCGTATCTCTCGTTCTCTCCCCTTTGTGTATGTAAAATCCCATACATAACCCATCGTATCTCTGATCGTGAACGCCTTTTTTTCCAGATAATGGGCGATATTGTTGGAAACTTGGATGCCAAGAAAGCATGTGAAAACGCATTGAAGATTCAAAACAAGTACATGAAAAAGGTAACATAAACAGCTTTATGTATATCAAAATACTTCTTTAAATGGATGGAGTGATGCATTCATATGTGTTACTTTTACGTGCAGACCAAGAATGATAGTTGCAGATCATCTAAAATATCAAAAATCTAATTTAAACTTTTACAGCCATTTATTTGGAGATTTTTCATGTATTTTATTTTATTTCGAAAACTAAAGTTATTGGTTCATGTATTATTTTTGAGAACTTGAAATTCCTTCATGTATAAATGGGAATTTACCTTATTTTTTTAATCTAACATGTTGATTAAATCATAGGGGTTTTATGAGACTCGTTAATTGATTGAATGATCAAGGATGTGTATGTTGTCTCATTTTACGTGGATTCAAGTTCAACATTTATTTAGTATGTAATATCTCTTTATTTAATTAAAAAAATCAAAGGGGTTTATACTATTAAACTTGTGTAAGGGTCCAATACTTTCAAATGGGAAAATATAAAAAATATAAATAAATAAAATCCACTTTTTAAGTCATGCAAATGCATCATAAAACATCTAGTTTAAAATATTTTAAAGAAAAAAATTAACGCATTAAACAATTTGAGATTAATTAAGTTTCGAAAGCATTATGGCACAATGTTATAGTATCAAACAATTTATATATAATAAATTGATAAAAAAACGATAATTTAAAATTATGTATTTTAATAATTGAACTCCTTTCAATTTTGTATAGTATGAGGGATGGGTTTTGACAATTAAATTAGAGGAATAATTTCTAAATTTCTTTACTGGTCCCCGGGTTTTATGGGTTAATTACACTTTAGGTGCCGGCCAAATTAAATAAAGATCTCTAAATTTTCTGGTTTAATTCTTTTTAGGTTCCATAAATTTTGCAATTAATCAATTTCACCTTATCTAATCATTTTTTTATTTAAATAAGCATATGTCTCTATAAATTTAACTTCTTCAGAAGTTAGACTATAAAGTTTATGTTTATGAATTTTCCAAAACATGGTTGTAGACCGGGATGGGGTTGAGTGGTGATGGAGTGCGATCATAATCTTTCAAATATTTTAAATATTTTTTATAGATATTTAATTTTATATCTTCTAAATTTTATAATTTAATACACCTTAAATATTAACATAACTTCTTAATTATATATATATATATATATATATATATATATATATTGTGTTTTTTTTTTATTGTAGACATTTATTTATGAATAAAAGATAATAATCTAAATTGACAAACTAAAATAGAACAATTTGTTAAAAAACTTCCTAAATTTAGTATTTTTTAAAAAAAATTATTTAATGGTAGTAGTAGTTGAAGAAGACTAGCCAATCTAACACCATTGAATTAACGCAAGTTCTGTTCAATTTTAGTAAATTTTTTCCATTTTACTCTCTTTTTCTTTTACCTTATGTCTTCAGGGAGGGAAATAATTCTTCTTTTCTTTTGAATTTACAAGATTCTTTGCGTTTCTTATGAAAACAAGATATAGTCTCATCAGTTTCCTAGACAGAAAAAATGTTCCAGTTCTAGGAGAAAATCAATGCTTGGATACTAAGAAAATCTGGGTTTTCTCCGTCTCCTCTTTTTGGGGTTTCAGGTTCAGAGTTGAAGCTAATCAAAATTCAAAGAGGCTGCTTTAGTTTAGACATCGAAGGTAAAGGGGTCACCAAAATGGCGGCAAACAACACCAAGATGAAGGGCCTGCTAAAAGGCCTTAAATACTTTTCTCGTATATTTGGTACGCTGCTGCAGATTCTTTTATACATTTCTCAAATATAGATGTATTGGTTTGGTTTGCATAATAATGGCAAAATGAAGAGCCCGAAATGCAGACTGGTCTGCCAACAGATGTAAAGCATGTGGCTCACGTAGGGTGGGGTGGTTCATCTGTAAATGCTGCTACTGCACCCAGCTGAGTAATAATAATATACGACTATCATAGTAAATGTTTTCATTGTATTATAATCACAAAAAAATAAAATTTGTCAATGTGAAAATGGAAACAACATGATTCATATAAAATGCAGACGAATGGGTTTAAACCACCAGAACCTTTGGCTAATGGAGAAGTAAGGGAGGAGGAACCTTCCAAATTTGTCTCTCAAGGTACAACATGTATTGCTTTAGGATTTATTACACTAACAATCTGTTTGTTTTATTGTAATTGATTTTTTTAATTTATTATTTTTTAACGTTTTGTTAACGGTAAATAAATTGTTCAATGTAATTCATTTTCTTGATCAATAAAAATGATTTACGGTGTGATTTAATTTTTACGCCATTGTTATAATTTAATATATTATTTTTGACAAGACAAACAATAAGTGCCTAGATCATCAAAGTGTAGAGTTCAACTGCGCATGAAAATATAGATTCTTCATTAAAAGAGAAACGTGAAAAAGTCTCACGAAGTCTAAACTCTTCACCAACATCAGCCAAATCAGAGCTGCCTAAATCATCACGGCTAAGTTCATCTGCAAGTGCATACGGGGAATGCAGAAAGGAAAGACGAGATAAGCCTAACCCATCTTCAAACTTAACTCTTCTTCAGGTACTACTAGGAAGCCTAGAAAAGTACTCGATGATCTGAGCCAAACGTCCGAGTCGAACTTGACTCGGAATATGTCCCAAAGAAAAGTTTTTGTCGGAAAAGGTTGAAAGACACCACTGCCGGTATCGTGACCTCGAGGCGAACCAGACCACCTACAACACGATTCTGAAACGAGTTAAGGCCCAAGTCTAGAACCCGAGAGGAACAACGAGTTAGTGATGCGCGTTCAAGTTTTGAAGAAGGTACCACCATCGAAGCTTAATCGATGTTGATAAATTAGAGGAAACCGAAAACTAAAATTTACATTCTTTCATCTTATTTTTTATTTTTACCACAATGGGGAAACTTGTAATAAGATATAATATTGGATAGTCATAAATAATATATTTAAAAATATAAAAGTATGTAATCAATTTTTTTCCGATAAATACATAAAAATATGGAAACCATAAAAACTTTGTCCCCGTTGTATTTGTACCTAACTTTTTTATATTTGTTAGGATATGCAAAACACATGAAAAATTACATAAATAAAATATTAAATTATAAAAAATTCAAACTTATTTAATAGGCTATGAAAACAATGTGCACCTTACCTACTATACAATCTTACAAAGTCAATTCCAATATCAGCTTTAAAAGAAGAAGAAAACTGTTAGGCGTTAGCCCCTTCTTTAGTAGTTTCCATTACGAAGTATTCCAAACTGGATTTACCTTAAAAAAAACCAACCCGAAATTTATGAATTTCATAATCACTTGTGCTATACATCATCTTTCTATTGTTCATATCAAATTTCTCTAAAATTCTTTCCTTATATTCCTCTAGCCGGCCGGTTCATGGTTTTTCTAGTTCTTCTGAATCCAACCTATCTTTAATCTTTACCAATATCTCACCCTTCAGTTTTTTTTTCCTCTTATTTTCTTAATATCAACAATTTTCCATTTTAATTTAACTCTTTTTTACGTTTATGTATCAAAACAATTAATGATGGCAGAACTGCATCTTGTAAATCTGAAGATAGCAAGTTTGGTGCAATCAGATGAAGTCCTTGCATGGAAATTCACCTTTAATCAACGTAAACAAAGATGATTATGGGAATCAAAGAAAACATTTTCTGATATTTATTGCAATATAATTCAGATCATACTCTAACAACATCAGATTTACATGCATGAATGAATGCATATCTCGTGCACACATTCAGATTTAAAAAGGAAAAAGATAAATAAAAAACTAAACTATTGAACTGAGGCTGTGTACTCCACAGAACTTCTCCAGTTGGACGGAGGAAAAAAAGGATAAAATACTTCTAAAAAAAATTAAAAAGAGAGGGAGAGAACGGTGGCCAATGGGTGTCTGGACGTGTGAGAAAACAACCTCACATCTGTAAGAAACGAGCGAGTTGGCTAGGGTTGACGATGCCCGGTATGTGGGCCCCATCTGTCTTCAGCAAGCTCGCCACTTCAACGTACCTTTGGCGCTTCTCCTCCCTCGGCTCCGGCTTCGGTTCGGCGTCGCCGGCTCTGGATCTCGTTTAGATCCACGTCTTCTCCGATTCCCCTCTTGGATTCGGCGGCCGTTTGCGGCGGTCGATCCGGGTCCCACGTTTGGCCGAACAGCGTCCCCTTGGTGAGGTACTCGTGGGCCAGGATCCAGCCAGGAGCTGGTTGGAGAGGACCGGCTGAGCGGCTTTTTCGGAGCGGCTAACGGGACAGCCGGTTTGGGTAACTTTGTGAGTGTGGGGCTTAACCGTTTGAGGTCAAAATCTTCTCTCTTTCCTCTTGTTGGTGGGAATGGAAACCCGACGGGGTGGTAACGCATCGTTTTGGTGTTCATTATTCCGCACTTTATAGTACATGCCACGTCAAAAAAATCTATTATAAATAAAGGATGGAATTTTCTATTAAAAAAGCAACTTTTTTTAATATTTAAGAAAAAAAAGTTATCTGGGTAAATAACGAAAGCAAAAATAGCGAAGAGTAAAAAAAGGAAAAAGAAAAAATACTGCAGGATAAAAGTAAATATTTTAAAAATGAAAAGTAAAATATTTGAGGAAAAAAGTTAAAAAAATGACAGTGGCCGGAATCTGGCTTTAGGAACAAAAGCGAAGAAGGAAGAAAGGGAGAGTGATTGAGAAATTTCTTCACAAGACAGAAATTAAAGAGCTGATAGAAAAAGAGGGAGATATCGTTTTGTTTTTTATAGGGAAGGGGTTGAGAATTAGCCCTTAAGATTAAGTAAATTCCAATATTGCCATCAAGAACTGAAATTACGAAAATATCCTCCATTCATATCTCATGAGTCATGACTTGTTTTTGTTGTTATACTTGTATTTTCATATTATAAATTACTTATTTTAGAAATTTAATATGATAAACCGAATTTTATATAAAAACAAAATTATATTTTTATAAATATACATATAACCTAATTTAATAGAATTGTTTTTATAATTAAACCTCGTGTAAAATGGGAATTGAGGACATGATTTAAGAGTGTAAAGATAGAAGATTCTTGTTTAGCTACATAGGATAGGATTGATGGGCATTTTATTATTATTATTATTTT